TGTGATAAGTTGAAAATGCATGATTAATACATTCAGACTAGAGGAATGAATGATATATGTTTAGTTAAACAACTAATGAATTCTAAAGATAAAACATTGATTAAGCAATTAGACATAAGCTGATAAATTTGACATTACAATAATATCAGAAAATATTCCTAATTCAAACACTGCTGAATTCATGACATCAATCATTGAAATAAAACTTAGATCAAGTTCTGCTTCTACTTCTCTTCTTGTTGTTTTTCAACACAAATGTATTGTGTTTATTGAAATAACTATATGGTGAGTTTCGAAATTGATTTTCGATGAGTGATGGATATTTATACTTTATGGTGGAATCAATATACCAAACGAAAAGAATTATAATACTAACTACTTTTACAGTTGTATTTATAGTCATTTGTTAAATAAACTAAACTCAATTAATGATTGAGCTACTATTCAGATAACAGAGTATTTTCTTTTGATCTTAACCATTCAGTATTCAATAAGAAATTATGTTGTTCTTTAAATTGATATATTCTTAGACCGTGATGGATTACAACAATTATCACTCGGGCATGATGGGTTTCAGATGTTTTTAACCTGGCAAGTTGATCTTATCGGTATTTTTGGCTGAAAGTAACTCTCTTAAAGTGTTAGATATTTCGAAAGCTGTTTTCCGCAATAATAATAATCCATTCAATTGTGGTGAAACTGTAAACTACTCTAATATAGGTATTTTCTCCTCCATATAACATCTGTTTGGTCCAAGTATCCTACTAATAAGAGCAGTATGCTGTATGATATGACTAAATCAGATTGACTAAGTTACGTGTTAGTATACTTATCACTCATCGAGATCTTATGCTAAAGAGGTAAGCCCAATGACTAGTCTTCTTTCGATAACGATATATTTAAATAAACTAATGTGTGGCGGAAGGATCGAAAACAGTAGAACTACTTTCAGACCTCTTCATATTTGAAACAGTTTGAATAATTTTTCATTAATGTATGAAATGAAAAACATAAATTAACATTTGACTGATTGTGCTATGAAATAATATCATCAACAATGGCATCAAAACAGATCAAGTTCTTCAAATGTGTGGAATAATTCAATATTTGAATTTTCTGACGTTTCGTGTAGGCCACTTCTTCAGATAATGTACAAATAATCTAAATTATCACAAGTTTAAATTGTACTAAGGAACGAAGGGAAAATATTTGGTGCGATCAATCAAAAATAGCTCTGACCGATTCATTGTCTTGTCATTCATGTCAAGGTGATTTATTTGAGGCCTGTTTGTGTATGTATTTTAAAGGATGAGAAAATGTGACATTTGTGGCGCGATAGGATAGAGTTGAGTCTGTATGTACTATATTAATGTGAGATGTGAATAGAATGGGACATGGTAGCTCGTATAGATGGTCTTAGTCGGGTGAATTGTGAGGCCTTCTTTTCTACTGGGGGTCGTACGATCAAGCAATATATGAAAAGCTTCAGTTTCTCACCTTTCTTTGTAGTTGTGGAATTGTGGCGTTTCTATGAACTAATAATTTCTTTATACTTGACGATTGTCTGATTTCGAATTCCAAATACAATACATTCGTTCGTGCTCATCTAGTTCTTCTTGGTCTAAATTGCGCTATTTCTATCACAAAAAAGCCTCCCCTAAGATGAATGATGCGAGAATATGCCGGAATCATTTATTATTTACGATAATAATACGAAAATCAGTAATAAAACTACTTAGTTTATTTACAGAAAAATTTATATAGATTCCAAAATAGACTATGTAGAAAATTAATATCTTATGAAAAGCCAGAAAACACAAATGAGCAGAAACTTCTTAAATAGGCCCAAAACATCAAAAGCCTCACAAGAAAAAGATATTAGTGTTATTACCGGTAACTACCCTTGCAATAGAATTTAAAAGTTCTAGAGAAAGCACATGTTTGAAAACATTTTTAACACATTGCGTTTGTCACAAATACGTTTATTTTTCTTCTTACAAGAACCGGCAAGAATAGGTAAACTCGACATATTTTGGTTGAAAAAATAAACAGAACTTGAAACTCAAAACTCCATCAGGTTATTTTTAAAAACTTTGACTAGATTTCACGCTAGTTCCAGTGCCCAAACTGAGTGCTACAATACCTTAATATTATTACTGCTGTCAAAGTGACAACAAGGATGTTGGAGACTTAACCTTCAAAATTTATTTAACGCACAAAATGTTAAAAATAACCAAACTTTATTCGTAATAGCAATCCATTATTTGACATCCAGAATGGTATCTCTAAATGCAAATAATTCGATAAAAAAAACGAGTTGAATATATAATGCACATCAACAAAAGCACACAATGTTTGTGATTCCGGAAGACAAGCACAAGGTGTATGAGTAGAAGGTAATAAACTTCAATAGTCCAATCACCAGGAAAGAATATTGTAAACAACTTACGCATTTGTCAAGTAGTTGCTTCTAATTGTTGACTGAACTTAACTTGTTTTGGAAGTAGATTAATCTACTACCTAATCAATCTAAGAAATTACGAATAGTCACCTATTCACCTCACAGCTGATCATAATTTCTGGTGACTGGAACTGAATCGGTATTTGAAAGACAGTCAGGTCTCAAAATCCAGCAAATGAAGCCACAACAGGGGAAAGTGTCCAGTTTGGTCCTATAAATGCTATTAACTAACAATTTTACACTAGGTTTCGAAGAAAGCGCACATACTACATGTACATATCCGATATCTAGTAGTTAGCACGACATTTTGAAACTTGAGAACGCTCAAATTTCGTTGGCCATTACTACCGTCTGTCATCGTTTTGACTGATATTGATTTTAAGGAGAATGATGTGAAGTCGTTTTTGAAAGTCCATCCAAACAATGTACTAAACTTTCATCAAACGGAATCTTGTCGTAAATAAATAGGTCAAACCATTCACAAAATCAAAACACTTGATTCCCCTGCTTGTGAACCTAAATGTCGTGAACCGTCATACGACAATTGTAGGGTAGATGACACTCAAATACAAGATTTTCAGTTGGTTTCAACATAGCTAAACTGTAACGTGGTGGTGAGATTTTATGTTTGTCATATGCAATCTATTCAGATATTGTTGTCGGCACACTTAGAACGTAGACAAGATTGACTTGACTTGTGCAAGTAGAAGTACTATTCCACTAGATCCAAGTTATTCGGAATGGCTGAAGAAATCTACTGATGATTTCTTACTCTTATATCACGGTGTACAAATGTTATATACGAACGAATACTAGATGAATGATAACTACTCTGAATTGTTCATGGACTGTCATTAAATATATTTCTATTGGGTAATAATTAAGTAACTAGATTATGTATATATACATATTCCCTTTTATCAAAATCGTCCATCTGACCTATTGGCTACTGTTAACGTATTCACAGATTATTCGTCTTAGTATACCACACACGTACCCACTTTTGGATCGGTCTTGTATAATTATTACTTCTCATTCTATGGTGTGATACGGTCTAGTTTGCCTGTATAAAAACCACGTATATCTGAAATATACGATTCACATATCGGAGACCGATATTTGTGTTCTGGACTGGACGGACTGAGTTGGGCGAGAAGCTACTATACAGAGAACCGATTAGGCACAGAGTTGACTCAACATTGCTAGTGCTGGTCAACGCATCACTAGTCTAGCACAGAGACAACGTCATGGATGTCGGTATTCTAATTGGTGGTTTTGTCACGTAGTATTTGACGGGACATGGGGAATAACAAGACTTACCAATTGATGAAGGTTCAAACACAATTTCCCAATGTTAGATGATCTGAACCAAGTAAGTGAGTATAACTCCATAAGAAGTGAAGTATTACTGCGTAAGCCATAACTGACTACATACAAGAAATACGCTTCAAGAAATGACCAGTCGATCCTCGGATATTCTTGATATCAACACTGAGTTGTAACATTCGTAACCGTTAGTCGAAAGTGAAACTGCCGCATTCTAAATCTTATCTGAAGACTGAGAAATCACTAGAATCAGTAAAATCTGCGTAGACTCCATAGACTTGAGAACAAGTCAAGGGTACGTGACATCCATGTCAAATTACATTTAACATGGAAAATATTTGGTGCATTAATATTTGAGTCATCACATGCTTTGATGAACCGTTATTGTTTGTTTCTGATTATTATATGTTCTAAGAACGTACCAATCCAGTGATATGCAGTTCAGTTCTAACGAGATATATGATTTTACAGTCCCTCAAACGTCTCATTACTGACTTATTAAACCTAAAAGCACTTGAAATGTTCAGTAATCATTCACGGTACCCTGACCTGATCAGTTATTACTGTGATACACTACTTTTGTTTGTCATTAAAAGAACGATAATGCTATGATCGACGTAGCGTTCAGACTTTGATAGGCTTTCGTCTATTGCGAAGGTACGTTGTGCGCTAAAGAAGGAGGAGTATGTAAAGTAATACATGTTTGAGAATTAGAAATATTAAAGAACAAAAGAAAAATGAGACGACAAATTCGTAAGTTCGTAAAATGCACTTGCGTTTAACAACTAATCGAATCCATGACAATAAGCACGTAAATTAGCATGAAATGAAAGCGTCCTGATAATTGAAAACAGAAATTGATTGGTTAGGATGTTGATTACACTACACAGATTTCTGCCTGATATGATTTACTAAACATAGACAGGTGCTAGCAGCGTTCATCTATTGATATTGAAAACTTGTTTGTAACCGCCCTGATGCAATGAAAAGAATTTAAACACAATTAGTACTGTATTTAGTGGACCACAAATTTATATTTAATTGTCAACGTAAGCACTCAGCTATGTGTTATGAAACAAGCATCATAGAGTTTTGTTTAAGTAATTCGAAAACAAATTTCTTAACGTAAAACATGAAAATAATAATCAGTGACGTACAGAAATTACTGCAATGTTGATGCGCTACCAGACTGTTATTTTAACTGTATTAAATTTTACCAAATAATTCTTTGTATCACTTCATTCAAAGTGGCAGCACTTTTTCTCAATTTACACAATTCATCCGCACTAAGTTCAGGCGGAATCAAATGACTGATTCCAGCTGAAGTTACAAGACATGGTAAACTCAAATAAACATCCTCTTCGATTCCGTGAATTCCTTTGACTGGAACAGTGAGTGGATAAACTGTATGAAGGTTATTTAGTAGTGCGCTACAAAGTGATCCACATGCCAACCCGATCGCCCATGAGGTGTAACCTTTCAAGCGAATGATGTCATAGGCACTCTGGACAACTTGCTTGTGTATTTCCTCGAAATTTTCAGGATCATCTTTGCATCCTATCTTTGGATTTAGAGAAGACAGCCGAACTCCAGCAACATTCACATTACTCCAAACAGCAACACTCGAGTCACCATGTTCACCAATCACATAACCATGGACAGAATTGGCAGATACTCCCAATTTCTCACCTAACAGAAAACGAAACCTCGCCGAGTCAAGCATGGTTCCGGTCCCAATTACTCTATGAGCTTCAAATCCACTCAATCTTCGAGCAACATATGTCAGAATATCGACAGGGTTCGATACGACGACTATGATGCAGTTTGGACTGTATTTCACAACGTTCGGTATTATTTTCTTGAATATATCAACATTACGCTGAACAAGGTTCAGTCGTGATTCTCCTTCGTTTTGTCTGGCACCAGCAGTGATGACGACAATATCTGAATTTGCAGAGTATTTGTAGTCGGTTCCCCCATCAATTTTGCACCTGCCAATAAACTGTTGACCATGCTGTAGATCAAGAACTTCCCCTTTAACCTTATCTGCTACGACATCAATAAGTGCGAGTTCTCCTGTCACTTGCATGGTAGAGAATGCTGCAGCCATTCCAACCATTCCAACACCTATAACAGTCACTTTACTACGAGAACGAGGCTCGATATCCCTTGGAGACACCGGTTTCATCAAAGAGTTGGTAGATGAAGACATCCTTATAAAAACGATGTAATAGGATAGACAATATGACCTTTTGTACGGTTAGGGCTGTTGTTATTGATAAGTAGTTTGCAGAAGAATGAAGCTAGTAGTCTTATGTTTGGGAATCTGAAATGTAGAAAACAGGAGTTATTGAGCACGAGATGAGGTTTAGGGGCTTCATCTAGGCTCATTTATATACAAGTCATCGTAAAGCGAAAACGTAATACACGTATCAAAACCTTACCTAGAAAGTTGTACTGAAGTGATGGAGTTAAACAATTTCGGCATCACCGGTTCCCGCTTGAACTGTTACTGCGAAAAGAAGTCACCGATTGTCCTATTTAATATTTCGTTCATTATTGTTGCTTACACCAGACTTTGTTTGCAAATTATATTGTCATTAGTCGCATTCCCCATAGGTATACTTACCTTGTTCAATGGTTGGCATTGCTCATAAATTGTTGTTTAGGTCGATCTTGAATCCTCTAGTTCACTTGCATATTACAGTGATCACTGTTTACTGAATGCTACTACATATATCACATCTCACTCTCTCTCGATTCACTGAAACAACAGGCTGTTTGCGTTTGCAACTTATGCGTCTTAGTATTTTCTGGTCGACTGCATAATAATCCTGAATCATATCGGATATTTCAAAAATACTGATCTTTTGTCATAAAAGGGTATTCTGAATAACCCAAAACCGACCACGGTCAAGCAACTGCTCACATTCAACGGTCTGTCAAGTTCTACTAACGATTCATACTGTAAATCACTGACGTAGATGATCTGTGTAGGATGATTGGGGCCCACTCGAGTTAAACCAACCCATTAACGTCGAAGTCATATCCTGAGGTTGGTACCTGGCGTGAATTACCCTTTTGTCGTATCCAGGTACTAGTGCTACTTTGGTGACCGCACAACACAAACGACGTTATTACAGAAATACGTTAGTACGAGTAGGTACAAAAGAACAGAATGAGACCATAGCTGCCTTGGTCGGGTGGCTTACTAGTGCCCGGTGACATTTCTTTGGCCCTACAATGCCGAACTGCGCGTCCCTTGTAAGACCACTATCACACCAACTTAGTTGAAATGCAAGATTTATCAACTTGGACGACAGTACTGAGAAGGCATTTACCACATTGAAAGACGGTGTCACAAAGTGAACAACGTTGGGACATCTTTAAGTTAAAGTATATATTAGTATCTCTGTGGATGCACCTGATTCAGAAGCACGTGACAACCCTTGGAATTCTCCTCGAGATGGTTACAAGACACTTGCTCGAGGTATGGTTTTCCGACGGGGAACTCTTGGCTATGTATTCTTGTGCATGGCACTTTTTTCACTCTGTGAAAGGCTGAAGATTCTCCTTTACGCCGACTATAAACCCTTAACTTATGCTGTCCGAGTAGCCACCAAACTCACAACTGAAAGATTTTTCTGGCTTAATATGAATAGAGGCGTAAAGTAGTGAGTACGCTCTCTAGTAAGCTACCAGAAATCTAAGTTGATGAGATACAACAAATATCTCCTAAGCAACTTCTCAACCCGTGGCGTTTGTTTCGATCATCAACATCTTGATCAGGTGGGACCCCAATTCAGATCAATTGTATACTCCTGTATCCGAATTTGTGAACCGTTCCACACAGTTGTCACGAGCATGCATATAAGTGATATTACTGCTGAAATGGCGATCTCCCCTCACCGAATAGTGGGTGACAGACTTCGGTTTGCCTCTAACTATCACCAAAAACCGTGGACACTTTCAAATCCGTAATTTTTTATTATCTTACTGCGCTTCTTAAGATCACACGATTCGCCTATATTGCAGAAGCTAATGATTTGGTGTGACGATTTCCCCGACAATGTTCTAAAAAATCTGCTTTTCCTCCGATTCTTATGTTGTTACAATTGAAACTAAGTTAATATGTTTCGCATTCTCAGGATCATGAGCTCCAAAAGCTTTTGAAAGCTATTTATCGACAAGTCACCGCAAAACCTGAAGATTATTTACAGCTCTTCGAGGAATGGTGTTTATTCCATGTTCAAAGGACCATAAAGTTGCCCACATTTAAATCTTAAATTGCTTTAAGTCAAAAATATCTTATTTTTAGGTATTTACTAAGTGTGACATAATGTCTACACTCAGTTGCACGAATCTTCTGAGCCTGGTTTAGACTGAATATAAAGGAACTCGATATGATTTTACTGGTCCTCAAACGTTCTTCTGAACAAAAACGTCTTAACCGAAGCCATGACCCTCCCAATCTTGACACACCAAACTGCCACTCATAATTTCGACACACGACTACACGACAACCACTAATCCCTAATTCTTTTACTAATGTGAGAAATTCAACAAATGGGTGATTATTGTTCACATCCAAACAGTTGTTCGTTCGTAATTCTATTATCACTTTTTGCTAAGTGACTTTCACTCAACGGTGTTTTGTGATTAGCCAGTAGTCAAATCAAGGTCATAAGTGTGGTTTAGTTTGATTGTTATGAGAAAAGACCACCCTTTTGATCCTTCGAAGGCTCCGGCAAGGTGGTGAGCAACATAATTTATGTGTGAGACCTAAGCTTAAGGCGAAACTGAGGGGCCATTTACTTCAGTTTACATTAAAGTTTTGACATCTTTTCAGAGGCATGATAGTACTACATATCTTTATAGAACGGTAAAAGAGATAAATCCACTCAAAACCTACCACCGTTCCATTAGTGACAGAATAACATTGTTGGAACGGGAACAAAGATATTACCAGCCTCAACAGATTGCAAGCCAAGTACTTAGAAGTTAGCTACTCTTGTGTTATCCTCTCCACTGAACAATCGAAGGGCACAAACAATGTGACTTCCATGCAGTCGTTGATGACCAGCGACCACGAAGGAGCTTCATTGGTGTCCGGTAGCCCGTCTGAAAGGACGCGTTTTGGAAGAAATTCGAGGTTCTCAGAGCGTTCGAACGACTATTACATGTAGGACATTTTACTGGCTTATTACTTTATCTCATTTTGTCATGTTCTACAATTCATTGGTTGAATTTTCAATTTTTGTGACGTCGAAAGCACAAATACTTGTTTTAAACGTGTTGAACTATAGACATGTAGTGGCATTAGACCATAACCACACAATCTTCAGAGCTGAACACAACACTACTCGGAAAATAGATATTCAATATTTAACACGGGGAAATACCTAACGATGGAAAAGGCGGGAACAATAAATGGAATGGACTGGAGTTGATCGTGGCATGGCTCGGCCATGCAGGCGTGGTCTCTGCTGAATGTTACCTTATATCTTCTATTCATATTAAATATATTGTTCCTTCTCTAGCCTAACCTTATTCTACATCATGTATTGGTAATTGATACGATACAGTGAGTTGGTGTAGTCGATGGTGTGACTTCCACGTAAGATCTTATAGATTAGGCAGTTATATCATGACAAATCTACAAATTTAGGATTAGGTCTATTATTAGAGCAGTACTAATATCATAGTAGACCATAATTCTACAGACATCTTCATAAAAACATTGGTGATTAATATGCTAATTTATTTACAAACAGACTTGACGTATGCATCCATCAAAGTCAAGGCCCACAGCAAGCGCCCCTTTGATTCGCTTTATAAAAACTACAGGCTTCTCAGGCAGTTGCATCGTATAAATATTTAGTGTCACAACTATTCTAACACATGAATCCTAAGTTTGTACGTCCTGTGTGTTTTTCAGGGTCACAGCGTCTTCATGTTGTCATTACTGATTCGAAAAGCTAGCTATTGACTCGCTGGTACATTTATACTAATATTCTGACATTTAGCTTCAATGATTTTATCTATTTAATAGCCCTACTTTGGATGCATCTTAACTGTAGACCAACGTTGTAAAATATTGATCATACCTGTAAAAAAGCGTATATCTGCTCTTTTAGAAACATATTACTATTACATATGTACATATTTCTTTGACAAAAGACTTCGGAAAACCCTTATGTTTTTTGTTTGTCGTATAGTATTTATATAAGTATCTGTAGTTGTATTGGATCCTAACTACACAACCTTTGTAGCCAAGCGTATATTTACTGAAAGGTTTACATTCAACACGCAACATATAGAGAAGGTCAAAAGTAGTGAGCACGGTAACGGTAATGGAAATAACGCGGTTAGGTCTTGCAGGCGTGGTTATTCTGCGTAAGTTATCCCTATTCTCATTGAATATATTATTCTATCTCTAACTTAGATATGTCCTTCAGAAGTGCTAGATATCATACTGCTGTTTGTCATGTAGGACGAATCAGTATAGACAATGATATGACTTTCACATAAGATCTCGTAGACCGGGTAATCACATCATGACTAATCTTCAGTTTTGCGATCAGGTCTATGATTACAGAAGCAGAGATAAATGTACAAATATCAGAACAGACTATAAAGCCATATTTTGTTACATGTTGCAAGTCAGTTTACAAGCAAGATCAAATCCTTACAAGAGATATAATTTTCATTGTGATAAGTTACTCAGCTGTGTTGATATTTTATTAGATGTGAATTTAGTTGTTTTAAGTCAGTATCACAGTTTGCGCGCTTTATGAAAGTTGTGTTGCGACGTGCAGCTGATGGTCGAGAATGGAATCATGTAAAGTTGAGGGCTTCTAGAAACTTCAATCTTATATCCCTCTTTAATATCTGAGGTTTTAATGATGGTGCAGGACGAAGTCATCCGTTTCATATCTGTTATTGGTGGCATATCTCAAGGGGGCTGAAAAAGGGTGCAGGACAAAGAAATGACGAGAAGTAGAGCGGACGATGTTCATTGAGGAATAGTTAAGGCACCATTACTCAGTCTTATTGTTCTTCATTATGGCGCTTATTAAGCAAGAGCATTCTAATGGGTTTATGGTGACCTATATTCAGTGATTTTTGTAACAACAAAATAAAAACCACATTTTCTCTCTAATTTGTCACACTTTATATGTAACCACA